TGCAGAAGCTCATCAAGAAGATCATACACCCTGACCAAGTGGGATTCATCCCAGGGATGCAGGGATGGTTCAACATACACAAATCAATCAATGTAATACACTGTATCAATAGAGCCAAGGACAAAAACCATAAGATCCTCTCAATAGATGCAGAAAAAGCATTTGACAAAATCCAAAATGCATTTATGATAAAAACCCTACAAAAACTTAGAATAGTCGGTCTCTACCTCAATCTGATAAAAGCCATCTATGACAAACCAACAGCCAATAACATACTAAATGGTCAAAAACTGAAATCCTTCACACTAAAATCAGGAACAAGACAAGGTTGTCCACTCTCACCACTCCTGTTCATTATAGTTTGGAAACATTTGCCACGGCAATTAGATAAGAAAAAGAATAAAGGAATAAAGATAGGAATTGAAGAAGTCAAACTGTCATTATTTGGAGATGGCATGATATGCTACACAGAAGACCCCAGGAACTCCACCAAAATTCTTCTAGACTTAATAACCAAATTCAGTCAAGTAGCTGGATACAAGGTCAACATACAAAAATCAATAGCTTCCTCTACAGGAACAACAGACTTATTGAGAGAGAAATAGGGCAAATAATTCCTTTCACAATAGCATCCAAAAACCTGAAGTGCCTCGGAATCAACCTAACAAAAGAAATCAAAGACTTCTTCTCTGAAAACTATAGCACTCTGAAAAGAGAGATTGATGACGATATCAGAAAATGGAAAGATATCCCTTGCTCCTGGGTAGGAAGAATCAACATAGTGAAAGTGACCATACTTCCAAAACTGCTATATAGACTCAATGCAATCCCAATTGAAATCCCAGCAGCATACTTCACAGACCTTGAAAAAACAATCCAAAGATTTATTTGTAACAAGAAGAGACCTAGAATAGCAAAAGAAATTCTAGGCAACAGAGACATGGCAGGAGGTATCACAACCCCCAACTTGAAACTATACTACAAAGCTACTGTAATAAAAACAACATGTGCTGGCAAAGAAACAGACATGAGGACCAGTGGAATAGATTAGAAGATGCAAAAACAACTTCCAGACACACTCAGCCACCTCATCTTCAAAAAAGGAGCCAAATACCCTCACTGCAGGAAAGATAGCCTCTTTAATAAATGATGCTGGAAAAATTGGGTTTCAACTTGCCAAAGACTAAAACTAGACCTATATCTCTCACCATGCTCTAAACTAAAATCAAAATGGATTAAAGATCTAAATATTGAAAGAGAAACGCTGAACTGGCTGGAACAGATGTTAGGTAGAACTCTTGAAGATATTGGTGTAGGAAAAGATTTTATGAACAAAACCTCAGTTGCCCATGAACTAGCACAAACAATCAACAAGTGGGATTTTTTCTTATTAAAAAGCTTCTGCACAGCAAGAGAAACAACAACAATAGTGTGAAGAGACAACCCACAATCTGGGAAAAAATTTTCACCTGCTGTTCCTCAGACAAAGGTTTACTATGTAGAATCTAGAAAGAACTTAAAAAAAATCAGACCTCGCAAATTTAAAGACCCAATCCAAAAAAGGGCATCTGAAATGAACACACATTTCTCACACAAAGAAGTAAAAGCAGGAAATAAGCATATGAAAAAAATGTTCAAAATCACTGGTCACTCGAGAGATGCAAAGGAAAAACAGTGCTGAGATTACACCTCACCCCAGAAAGAATGGCTGCTATCATGAAATCCAGGAATAACAAATGTTGGCAGGGCTGCGGGGAAAGAGGAACACTGCTCCACTGCTGGTGGGAGTGTAGACTAGTACAACCACTGTGGAAATCTGTATGGAGATACCCCAAAGAACTAGGGCTGGAAGTCCCATTTGACCCAGCTATTCCCCTGCTGGGTGTCTTCCCCAAAGAATTTAAAGAATCATACCACAGTGATATATATGTGCCCATGTTCATAGCAGCATGATTTGTGATAGCTAAAACTTGGAAACAACCCAATCACCCATCAACTGGAGACTGGATAAAGAAAATGTGTTTTTTAAATAAAATGGAGTACTACACAGCCATAAAAAATGAGAAATTAGAGATATTTATAGCTAAACGGATGCACATTGAGGCAATACTCTTAAGTGAAATAAATAGTACACATATGTGTAAATACCAAATAGTTTCTCTAGTCTGAGAAACTGAGTGTGTTGATAAGGACTAAAAGGTATAATAGATAATGTGAAATAGGAAGAAAAGGGGCAAAGGGGAAGGGGAAGTGGGAAGGGTAGGGGAAAGGAAAGAAGGGAATGGAATTAATATGAGAAAATGAAAAAATGGAGACAAAATCTGTAAGTAGGGAGGGATGCAGGGGATTGAAGGGAGGGGTTGAAGGGAGGGCAGGGGAATGGGAAAAAATTAAGGACCAAGAGGGATTATTTAAAGGTGCAGATTTCCAATGATGATTGTCATTGTATTGTATACCTAACATGTACCAATAAAATCAATTTTTAAAAAAGAAATAAATTGATCATCTCAGGTATTTTGTCACAATAATGGGAAGCTAAATAACATAGACATTCTACATGTTGGTTTTGGCCAAAGCAAAAACTGACCGTTTCTTGTGCGGTTAGCAAACAGATACTCACAAAGGCATTGACACAGCCTCTCCTGACAGTCAGGGGATTCAGTCAGTGAAGGCAGGAGACAAGCCTTGGGGGAGTGCAAACTTGGCCAGGGCAAGCCTCATGGTGCTGCAGGAAGAGGAGTCAGCTACAGAGGAAGAGGAGATACATTTTCAAACAAGGGAGAGGAAAAGCTGCTGAAGGAGACATCCCCGAAGGAGGGAAGGTTCCCTGAGACTTCATCTAGACAGTGATAAACAGTAAATCATTCCAAAGGGAGAGGCTAAGAATCAGGAGCAGCCAAGAGTGTCAAACTATCCACCCAGTGCATTATTCAACTACTGTACTCTTTAAAAAGCAAAACAGAACTGTCAAAGATGAGAGAATGTATTAGATTTTGGTAATGCATTAAAACAAGGCTCAAGCTTCTAAATTCTAGCCCAGGATTTTGCCATCAGTCCATGGGTTGACCCAGGAGCATTTCAAACTGCAGAAAAGATGCGAGAAAGAGAATATCAGGTCAATAGATGAAGCATTTTCAGTGATGTAAATCAGCTACAGCTAGAGAGCGTGCAACACTGTAGGTAGCACTAGCTTAGCCACGTGTTTTTTTGTAATTAAAGGTAATTAAATTTTAAAAAGTAAAAATTCTGTTCATCACTCACACCAGCCACATTACAAGCACTCAGTAGCACATGTGGCTCGTGTCTATTACATTGTGTGATCACAAAGTACAGTGAATGCTTAAATTTTAAAAATTTATTACAGTAAAAGACACATTGTCATTAACTGCCCTCACAATCTTTGCCATTGCTTTGAATACACATTCCATCATTCTTGCCACATTCTGAAGCAGTTCTGGAAGTCCTCTTTCCTGTCTTTAGCTACATCATCACAGCTGCCTCGGTGTCCTGAATCCATTTAAAACATTTACCTTTCATGGACATACTGATTTGGGAGAAGAGCTGAAAGTCTCAGTACCAGATCTGGTGAATAGGCTGGGTGAAAACACATCCCCCCTTTGGAAATGTCCCCAGTCATCAAGCTCTAGAATGGAATACTCAGAGTAGCTGTAAGGCTAGTGTGGTCACAACTCTTCATTTCCCAGGAATAACTCTGGGGAATAGATTTCCAGGCAAAGAGGGCCAAAGCTAGGATCAGATACCATGTCCAAGCCCCTCTCCGTCTGTCATGTCACAGTCCTGCTGTTATAGCAACACAAGCATCTCCATGGAGATTTCTCTTTGTTACCTTCAAAATTGCTTTAGAATGAAGGCCAAAGATAGAAGAGTTCAAAGAGCCAGAGTCCATGGCCAACATCAGCATCCTTGGTGGGACTGTCCAATGGCTGCTTTCTCAGCCAACAGAACACAACTTCCTGTGTGCAAGCCATTGCCCTGAGAACACAGGATGTATTTGACATGGCCTTGCCTCTGAGGATGTTAAAATCTGATTTTCAAAAATGTGCAAAAACTTAAGAAAAAGACTCTCATCTGCTAACATGGCACTCATATAGGACTCTATTTTGAGTTTAGGTTTTTGTGGGTCAGCAAGAATCTGAGAAAACATTCTCACATTGTGCATTAGTGCTTGACACCAGAGTGTATGACTAGGGTGGAGCTCTCCTCCAGACAGAATAGGAAGAACATTTTTGTTCTTGGCAGTTACTAAGTGTGTAGTCTTGATTCTATTCCATCGCCTCTAGGGCTGCCAGATTTAGCCATTAAAACGCACAGGGCACCAAGTTAAATTTGAACTTCAGATAAACAATGAATAATTTTTTTAGTATAAGTATATCCCAGAGATACCATTAAATATATTTGCACTAAAAACTACTCTCTATTTTTTTGTAATTCAAATTTTACTACATGGCACTGCTGTATCTTTCTCTTATGTACCTGGAAATGTTCCTATGATTCTTCTGTTTCCTCACTGTGAAATGGGGGTAAGCAAACTCTCCTTGCTTATCTAATGAGGATTGAATTAGACGCGAGGTGAGAAGGTATACCGTGTAGCATGCACTCAATAGATAATAGCCCTCCATACTTCCTTATTTCCTCACAGCACACATCAAATAACAAAATGGAGTTTGAAACATGTATCTGGAAGCTAGACTTGAGAAAACAGCAGTCATCGGCCTGCTTTTCCACCTGCAACGGGACTCCCAGCTAGTTGTGAAGCATGTTATTAAAAAAAAAAAAATGAAGGCCAAGTCTCATGTAGTGGCATGCAACTATAATTCCAGCATTCTGGAAAGCTGAGGCAGGGGGATCACAATTTCAAGGCTAACCTGGGTGGCTTAGCAATGTAGTGAGACTCCATTTCAAAATAAAAATAAAAACAGACTTAGGGCATGGTTTATGTGAAGGTACTGGGTTCAATCCTCAGTATCTAGGGGGAAAAAAGAATGGCAACATTTATACTGAGGGTACAGACTGACCTATGGGATTTGAAATCTGAATAAGAACATGGGAGGAGATCTCTGTTCTAAAAGGAAGAACACTTAAACGATAGGTGGGCAACACATTGGTGACTCTAAAATCTCTATAGTGAAATGTCAACTCATTGGCCACTGGCTGATGACACAAGAAGACCAGACACCCAAGTGGGCATGGTAAGGGAGTTAAAGATGGAAAATTAGAACCGCAGGTCCTGAAAACTCCTATTCCTAAAGAGATAGGCAATGGATCTAGGCAGGGAGATCTAGTCCACATCTGGGTGGTGCCCAGCTCAGATTGTGCCTCCGTAACTAGCTCAGCAAAGTCCATGAGGCAGTTTTGGTCCATGGTCATCTAGGAAGGTGGCAAAGATGTGACAGAGAGATCTAGAGGTTCCAAGGAGGGAGAACTGCTTTTCCCTTCCTACCCCTGGAGATCCAAATCTGTATGCTAAGTCCAAGACATCAGAACATGCATAAGTTAGTGTCAAAGTTTATCTTGAGTTGCCAGGCAAGCCTGCTATGTTTCAGATGTACCCTACCATTTAAAACTGCAGAAAGAGAGAATTGTATTTTGTCAGGTCTGTGCCACCTTCTAAGAAGTTACATTGTTTTCCTCAGGTCGCAGTAGCACTGCACCTGCCTGGCAAGCTCAAGGTTCTGAGTTCAATCCCCAGGACTGGAAATAATAATAATAATAATAATAATAATAATAATAATTTGTTCTTCTCAGGTACCCACTGTTATAAGATACTGAAAGACAGAAGACTAACCCCAAGTAAATTAAATTATAATCAATTTTGGGGTGCTCATCCAATCAGGGAAAAATATACTAAACTGAGAATCACATTTTTCTCTTTAAATCTATCTATAATAATAAATAGGGCCAAGAAAAGAAGTGTGGGGGGATCAGGGTGGGGACAGATGAAGGAAGAGCTTTGCATCTATTTCTGAGACGTTAACTCCTAGAGCAGGTTAAAGCCATAAGAATCAAAGTTTAAGGCAGCAGTTCTCACAAAAGTAGCTGCAGACTCTGAAGTTCCTTGAGACTGTTTCCCAAGGATCTATGAGCTCAAAAAAATTCTCATAATAATACTAAGTATTATTTACTTTTAAAAACTTCCTCATAGGTTTACAGTGGTTTTGTGAAGTTACATGACATATTCATAATTACCTTAAAAGTCTGTTAAAATATCCCCTCCTTCCCCATTCTATATCTATATGGGAACCCAACTGTCATCTATTATGCTAGGAATTAAAAGGAGTTGCAAAAAAATGTAAAACAAAAGCATTCTTTCCACTAAACATTTTTTGAACTCTATATTTATTTTTCTTAAAAACTGTCATCAATATTAACTTACAATGGGCTTATTATTGTTCCTTTTCAGTGAATTAATAGTTTTCTGAATTTCTTTATTTTAATTTTTGAGGTAAATTTTGATAGTGCTACATAAAATGAAGATATTTGGGACCCTTGATAATTTTTAAGAATGTAAAGAAGCTCAGAGACAAGATTCATTATCATTAATTTGGGTGGGGACCAAAAAGTGAAGAATTATAAAAAGCATGTGCAATTTATAAAGAAAAGTGCACTGATTCTTATGGAGTTAGGGACTACATTTTTTCTGAATGGACACAAATAAGACAGATAAATAAAAGTCCAACAAGTGGATTTCAGCCCAATAAGAATTTTTCAAAGGCCTCAGCTATGCCAAGACAAAAGGGACTTCCTTACGAGGAGTGAGCTCTCCACCCCTGGAGGTATGTAAACAGAGTCTGACAAACAATCTGGCAGGGAAGTTGCAGAAAGGAGGCTGAGCACTTGAAGAAGCTGTTGTGGTGGAATGGGATAGCTGAAGGGCTTCGGTAGCTCCTTTACAATCTAAGCATCTACTGAGAAAAAAACACAAAATTGTATCACACAAGTAAAACTTAGGACTTTACTCAGGAGTTAGACACTTCACAGAGGAGACCCTAGCAGGTGATGAGAAGTGCCCCGAATGACTAGCTGGTAATTGTCATATCCGTCTGGCTTCAAGCACAGGTTCTATCCCTGGCCCAAGATCAGTCGAGCACCCAAGATTACAAGTCCAGCTCTGACATAGCCTTGGTCCTCCTCTCATGAGGCTCGTGTGTAGAGACTGTTTGTGCAGCTCAGCTCTTGCTCTTGCTCCCATCGAGTCTCTTAGCCCAGCCCAATCCCCCCGCCCCCCTCCCGGGAATCCCTTCCAAGGGAAACACCAGACTCTAAAGAAGCCCTAACCATCCGTCTCTCCCTGGCACAGTCAAGAGCTGTTTTGAGCCATGTGTGAGTCTGATTTCTGGATGCTAGGAGGTGAGCGCCAGCCCAAGAGCGGGAGCCAGGTGCCGCCCATCCCGCTGCAGCCTGCCCTCCACCTCTTTTGAGTGACACTTCCACCTGCCTGCAGCCATCCCTCCTTGGGCAGGGATCCCATCAGATTTTATAAGCCAGGCAGGGTCAGGCCTGGTGAAGACATGAATGGGAATGCCCAGAACAACAAAGGCGGCAGGCGCTTTCCCTCGGGAGGTGGGGTGAGCCAAGCCACGTGCTTTTCCCCCCGGGCAGCCCGGGAAAGCCTCAAGCTTGACCGCAGGGGCCCCACCGAGGACAGACCTAGTGGGATTAGCCAGAGCTCAGAAAGACAGTTTCTACAGAAACACTTTAATTTGGTTGATTTTCAAGTCACAGTGGATTATTAGGAGACAAAATGTATGGCAACTATTTGTAGAACAAGATGGGCAACTTTTTACAGTAAAGGGCCAAACGGTAAATATTTTGGGCTTTGTGGGCACAGTAGTTGTAGTGTGAAAACACTCTATCACTGACACGTAAATAGAGGAACATGGGCATGTCTCCCAAAAACTGTATTAGTGGACACTGCAATTTGAATTTCATAAAGTTTCACATCTCATGAAATATTCTTCTTCTTCTGACTTTTAAAAAACTGGCTTAAAATTGTAGAAAGCATTTTTAGCTCATAAAAGAGATGAGTTGTGTTTCCACTGTGGGCTGTCTTCTCTCAGCCTCCATTTTGTGGCAGTGCTTCATGAACTATATATAGTACATGACCTATTTTTAAAGCTTTCTTGGTTACATACTTTTGCAAATTTATATCGAAATTGGCTACTATAAAAAACAAGAGCTACAAAATAAGTCAACTGATGAAATTGCTACCAGCATCTCTAGTGCACACTCTGAATATATGGACTTTTTCACTAGGGACTGGACCATAGCAGTGTGTGACCCACAGAATGGATGACCCTGTGAGTCTAAAGTAACTGCTTGTTGATGTAAAGTCAATGACCACATCAATTATTTACATTATCATCCAGTATTTTTGAAGTCCTTAAGGTTTGTGGTGCATACACACAAGCTTGTTTACCAGTTCTTAACAAATCTTGTGTTACCCCTACCGTGGGTTCTAGAAGGCACACTCAATGAGGAACTCTGATTCCATCATGATAACCATCACTATTCCTCATTTCTCTGATTCTGCCCTTAACCTCAGTCTTCCTTCAATTCCTGCCCACCTGCCTAGGAAGCCCAATAAGTGGCCTGTGGTCTGCTGTTTGCCTCTTTGCCTACTCTGGTGCCTGGCCTCAGAATGTGAAACGGCTGCTACTGGGCCCATACCTGCAGCAACGGAGTGGTCACTCTTCCTT